CAGTTTGGGAGACCAAGGATATGGGTCCGCTGCCGAGGCCCAGAAGTCCAGCCGTAAGGCCGTATAATCCCTGACTGAATAGGCTACAACCAAACGCGAAATCTGAGAAGGTCTCGTTTGGTGCTATGGTAAGTTTGTCTTTGCCGAGGAATCCGGTGGTCACGGAGTTATCACCGTAAAAGACGCTGTAGGTGCATTTATTGGTTAAGGAACAACCAGGATTGAATGAAGTCGCCGAAGTAGCTGAGCACTCGGAGGGATTGCAAGAATTGTCGGAATACGATCTGGACTTGTAGGGGTCAAATATGGGGCCTTGTTGTCTGTGGCAGGACAGAGAGCACGGTTGGCATTGAGTCCATGTCAGGTCGCTGCCAGTGTCGAGAATGAGGAAGTGATTAGTTTCTGGTGTGCCGAGGCCCATGGTGACGATATGGGTGCCATAATCTAGGAAATCGCCTGTGCTGACGGGAGAGCCAACAACGCCGCGTCGGCCTCGCAGTCGCTTGTGGATGGATTTAACCCTTGATTGGTCGTTGCGTAGGATCTCCTCACCCAAGCTCAGTTGGGATGATTTTGTTTGATTTAACAGCCGCTCATCAGCGCACGGACCGTGCCTGCGGATGACTTCAACTACTGCCGATGATCGCTTGTTCTTCAAACCTACACATATTCATCAGTTAATTGTGGTCAAGGAAGTTAAGCATCAATAAAGTTTTTGAAAGCTAATTTTGTTTCAAATTAACTCAATTAATTAATGAGACTGAGTATAATGACGAAAGAATATTAATTTATTCAGAAAAAAAGAATTAATTGCATAGTAAATTATATATATATGATACCTGGAGGGGGTGTCCTTTGGCAAACTGAGGTGGACAGATGTGATGCGATGTCCAGAACATGATGTAATTCATTTTCTAAATCTGAACCCCAACATGATGATGATATTAATAACAGTAGTGTTGTTAATAAAAGAGACGAATAACAAAGAAACTTCATCGATCGATCGATCGAGGGCAAAATCGACTGTTGCAGTAAAAGTATGCAAATCTCTTTCTTTCTTGTGAAGCCTACTTAATTGGATGATGCATTCAGCCAAGAGTACGTAGCTGCCCGTTGAGTTATATAGAAAACATTTTACCAACAGGGGTTGGCTCAAGTGGTAAGCAAGGTCTCGGGTTCGAGTCCTTGTGGATGCAGAAAACCCTTGTTGGAAGACTCACCCACCACTGCCAGGTGTGCGACCCGGGTCGACCAACAGATTAGTCGGGGCATA